CTCTCTCTCTCTCTCTCTCTCTCTCTCTCTCTCTCTCTCTCTCTCCACACACACACACACACACACACTCACTCACTCGGAGGTTTGGTCCTTTATCTGTGATCTATTTGGTTCTATTTGTGATCTAAGTCGCACAAACAAAAACAAGTCTGGTGGGGGCTTGCTGTGGTTAACTTGGGACCAGCAGTGTAAGGACAAAAGGGGAAAGCGACTCAGGTCTGTTTTCTTTCTCCGTTTTACTACTGCTCCTTTGCCCCTTTCTCCCCCCAGCATGCCAGTCCCACTTGCCGCTCCGCGGATAAAACGGTCCTTTGCTGACCGCTTTGCCAGTCCGCGTCACTTTTCGCGCTGGCTGAAAGCAAGTGTGGCGGTGGTTTTGGAAGGCGCCGGCCAGACGTCGGCTGGGCTACTTCTTCTTGCGGGGATGAGCGCCCCTGGGGCTCTGCAAAGCTCTGGCCTCCACCAGATTGCGCCTCCCGCCTGGCTGAGGGTAGGGGTTGGGGCAAGAGTAGGTGAATAACTGGGGCGTCCAGGAGGCGGATCCAGGTGTGAGAGCCGCGGGAACCGCGAGGAGCGCCCCCTCCCACCTCTTTGAACGCTCCCGGGGCTCAAGCCCTCTTGGTGGGGTTTAATGCCGGCAGACAGTGGGGAACCTGCAGTTGAACGAGGACGACTCTTCAGGCGGGTCCAGGCTGCTGGCGCTGGAGTCCGCGGGTGGCGCGCTAAGCCCCGGGAGGAGGGCGAGCTAGCAGAAGTCCTAGGGATGGGACCCCCCCCCCCCAAGCGCCTACTCGGGCACAGGCACAATCAAGAATCTGGGTGAGGGGCGTGAGAAGTAGAACAATCCTAGGCAGAGTCTCCAGCTCGGCCCTAGGACTCAAGTGCACCCAAGGGCGTGCCGCATCACATCGGGGCACAGACCCTGTCTCCCTGGTCCGTTGCTTCCTTTTCCTAGAGACCCCCCTGGGTGACTGCCGCGAGGGGGGGGGGCGATCTTCATTAACGTGGACGCACAAAGCGGTTAAAATACAGGGAGGGGAAAGAAAAAGACATTTGATCCTGGCCGACCCTTTGTCTTGAAGCAGATTAGGCAGCCTAGAAAATAGAAGGCAAAACACAAAGTCTAGACAGGAAAACTTATTGTGTTCACAAAATATAAAAATGATCAGAGCGGTCTTGTACCTCAAGGGTTGAAGATAGATCCTTGTAGGAGAGTGGAAAGACAAGACGAGGAAGATTTAAAGGGAAAGAAACGGCAGATTATTAAGAAAGTAATAGTAAGGTGTCCCATACACTACAGTTTTATTGTTGGGTAGTAACTACCCGATTTATTTATTGCCGGGGCTATATAATAGAGATAATGACCACAAACTCAAGATAAATTCTTAGGCGCCCCGCCGGTCAATTCTTTTTTATTTAAGAGAGTGAGCCTGAGAGGTGAGCCTCATCTCCTCCCCTCCTCGAAGATCCGTCTTGCTTTCTACCATATTATAAGCATGACATGCAAATAAATAAGTGCCGATGGGTTTGCGTGGGTAGGCCTGCAGGATTTATTTCAGGTGAGGGAGGAACATATACGGAATATGAATTTCCGCAGGAGCTGCGGTGCGATTCCTTCCCACTCCTTTTCGGCTGCCCTCTCCTCCCGGGCTCCCTCCCTTCCTGTGGGAGCAGAGAGCGTCCCCTGATAAAAAACATTAATATGTCATGTCTCAACTCCTTATTCCTTGACATATAGGTCTGGGGAGGAATAGGGCGCAATGCAAAATGCAAAATGCGTCCCCAAAGTAGGCTGACTTGCTAGGACGGCTTAAAGGGTTTCCAGCCGACAAAGGGAAGGGTGAATTGTAATTATGATATACAGTATGGGGTGGGTCAGTATAAGAAATATGCTAATATCATTATGAAATATGCAAAAGGGTCCAGAAGTTTGCTGTCCCGGATCTGGTATTGGCCCTCGCCAGCTGGATAGATCCAAGGGGTTTC